CTCTCTAACTGACCTCATGGCCATCAGTTTGACCCGAAGTGAAAGTTTGTGTTAGTTTACCATATGAAGGCCATGTGTCCACACATATTAGTGTCATTAGTTGGTTGATTGGTGTGATGGTGGTGGACGATAGCGCTAACTGGCTCAGCAAGAACCTCTCCTGCTGGCCTCAGCGACGGCTGTTCGATCGAACACGCTGATAACTGCGTCGTTGTCTCTTCGAGGAGCTAAGCTGAAGTTTATTGAGGGTTTGGCGAAGTTTTGAGGGAAGGCAGGGACCTGGACTTACTTTGAAAGTGTATATTTCAGCCTTTGCCCATGAATGGGTGAGACTCTCCATGAACGCCCTTGAATGGGTGAGACTCCCCATGAACATGGATCATACGTAACCTTGTGCACTAAAACTATAGAGAAATGAATAGAAGCAGGGATCGATCCGGACTGGAAACGAGAAAGAAGAGCATTTCTCTCTTGGGCGTTCGCCTTCTTACATCCAAGCAGTGTTCGAGAGAGCTCATCGGAAAAGAGTTCAGGCCTCAGTTTAGCCGAAAATGTGGGCTGCGGGGGGATAGACTCACGTATATGACCCCGCCCGATGTTCGGCTGGCTGAGTTCCACTATCCATGATCTTTCTGTTTAGTTTTCTCTATTTCTCCAGTGGATGTTCACAAAAGTATTTTTCTTCGCGGGTTCGTTAGACCATGGGCCTTCCTTCTTTAACGAACAACACATCACATGAAACTTTTTGAGAATCCCTGCTGAATTTGAGGCTCCCTGATTATCAAATTATCGATTGCACAGCTGAGCTAGTATCCCGGATGTAACGCCTGTGATTGTGCTCCTCACCGTATCCTTTTCTGTTTTATCCTGAGCAGGTGTCACTATAGTTAAAGTAGGCTTTCGAAAAGTAGTCATAATCTCTGCAGGCGGTAGGGCCTGTGACGAAGGGCGGACTGAAGCGCTGCCAGGGCGGTTTTTCCACCAATGAGGGCATCCTGAGCCAGCTGCAACTGGCGGGAAAGGATCAGCACCCCGTCACACGCCCTATCCTTTGCAGGGATTATGGTCGCATAAGATCTCCAGTCTTGAAAGTCTTAATTTAGTAATTTTGCCAAGAGAGCAAACCATAATCTACGCAATTTTTCAGTTGACATGGATAAAAGACGGCGTTGAACTGGAAAAATCAGCCGATTCCAATGTAATCTACGGTAACGATGGCAGTTTAATCATCTCTGCAGCAAGGCTTAGCGATTCGGGTAATTACACCTGTGAAGCGGTCAACATTGCCAATCGACGAACGACGGATCCTGCAACTCTCAGTGTCTACGGTGGGTATTTGCTTATTCAGCGGTTTTACACAGGCTTGGGAACCTGTACAGTCGTTATCAC